GTGGAGAGCCGTGTTTTTCCGCCGCCTGTGTGAGAGCCGCGTGTTTTCCGCCGCCTGTGTGGAGAGCGCGTGTTTCCGCCGCCTGTGTGGAGAGCCGCGTGTTTTCCGCCGCCTGTGTGGAGACGCGTGTTTTCTTCGCCGCCGGTGTGGAGAGCCGCGTGTTTTTTGTTTAGACGCGTTTTGCTCCCGCCTGTGTGGAGAGCCGCGTGTTTTCTGCCGCCGGTGTGGAGAGCCGCGTGTTTTTGCTGCGCCGCCTGTGGAGAGCCGCGTGTTTTCTGCCGCCGTGTGGAGAGCCGCGTGTTTTCTGCCGCCGGTGTGGAGAGCCGCGTGTTTTCTGCCGCCGGTGTGGAGAGCCGCGTGTTTTCTGCCCGCCGGTGGGAGAGCCGCGTGTTTTCTGCCGCCGGTGTGGAGAGACGCGTGTTTTCCGCCGCCTGTGGAGAGCCGCGTGTTTTTCTGCTGCCGCCTGTGTGGAGAGACGCGTGTTTTCTGCCGCCGGTGTGGAGAGACGCGTGTTTTCCGCCGCCTGTGTGGAGAGACGCGTGTTTTCTGCCGCCGGTGTGGAGAGACGCGTGTTTCTGCCGCCTGTGTGGAGAGACGCGTGTTTTCTGCCGCCTGTGTGGAGAGACGCGTGTTTTCTGCCGCCTGTGTGGAGAGCCGCCTGTGTGGAGAGCCGCCTGTGTGGAGAGCCGCCTGTGTGTGAGGTACCGGGCTGGCAGCCGACGGCGGATGGCGCGGATCAAGTGTATTTCCTTATTGTGGCATTGTTTCTAAGCATTTCAAGCCGATAACCACCTTTTAATTTTTTGATTATGAGGTTCAAGCTACGTTCTTTCACCGGCAAATGAGAGAAGGCTCAAAATGGCGTATGAAAAAGGTGCTGCACGCATTACAAATGTTCATAATGTCACAATCAGTATTTCTTGTGCAATGACGATTCCGACCACGACCACACGTAATTTGGAAGGTTTTTAAATCATTTTAACATACAGGTTTGTAAAATTGTCTTTTATCGCAGTGAAAGCACCGCCGCCGAACGTAGCCTTTGAACCAGACAACACAAAAACGCCGGAAGCTGTAACTCCAAGCTGCACAGCTGAGAGGCCTGGAATTGTCAGAGGCACATTCAGCGCCGCTGGCAGCCTCTGTGACCCATTTTTATCCAAATCCGGCAGATGAGGGTGTAAGATTGACTATTTGACCTGTGATTTGAATGACCCTTTCATCGAAAGTAGGACTGGACTAGTGCGTTGACAGCGTAATTTACAATCGAAAATAAATAAAATTAATATTTCCATTTAATCTTCCTGCTGCTGCGGTGGAACTGCTCTGCCCAGTGCTATCATGAGATGTAACTGGTCCTGAGGATTCACTTGAGTATGCTTTTGAAACATGCCCCAAAGGTGGAACACCCCCTTAACAGAAAGCTTCGACAGATACATCACTCCAGGATTCCACGTGGGGCTGCGTCCCTTCCTCCTGTATCAAAGGTTCCACCCTTTTCACGCCACGCCCTACTCTTCACGAACTCTGCATGTGGCGGCCGCTGCAGCAACCGCCAGGGGCAATCGTAGACCCCTGCAGAGTCGGCGCGGCACCAGAGGATCTGGTGAATCTGGAAAGCTGGGGTAGTGACTGTACATGCGAGGGAAGTGACTGTAAGCTGGAGTAGTGACTGTACATGCGCTTGCGGTGCACAATATTTAATCTCCTTACGTTTTCCAACCTTCTAGGGCGGGGTTTTGTTCAATGCATACAATAGTTTTGCAACGGTTGCTATCGCTAGTGCTCGCATATAAAATGCTCCTCGACACCCTTAACGAGGCATCAGAGAGCGGACTCGTCTTTTCCAATAGCTTCGTGCGGGTATGCCGGCACAATTCCTACCAAGCGTCCCGTTTTATCACAATGTTCAAGCACGCACTGAGCCGCCCGGTCCCTAGTCAACAACGCATTCCTTCCCGCAGAAGTCGATCAAGCTGTGTCAAACAAGGTCATGTTGTTGGCAACGTACCACGTCGACGCAGTATGCCCCAAAGTCAATATGCAAGCTTGGACAGCGTTCTTCGCTGGCCTACCCGAGTACGGCCCGAATCCAAATACCGAATGAAATTGGTGCGCCGCCTGAACTCCATTGCCTTAGATTGCCAGCCGGTGCCCCACTTGCCCATTGCTGTACTGTCGCGATCGCACACGTTCGTCGCCCCGTGGCGCATGCACGCAGCCTGTCCCAAAGAGAACGCGCGCTGTTCCGACAGCTGGCGCCTGGATGGCCGGCAGAGTGTGTCGGTGGGCGGTGCCCGTGGGTCAATCACCATCGAACCAGGGGTGCCGGCCGGGCGCGCACCTGCCGCCATGCTTATGTGACCGGAGCATGCTCCCGCAGTGACGGTCAGTGACGCAGATCGCAGGCCCGCAACCGGCAATGAGACACGTGGTGGATCATGACACTGTCGCTACCGGTGGACTAAGGGAGCCGCTGACGTAAGGCTGGCTGGAGCAGACTGCGTCGGGCCGGGAGACGCGGTTTGAGCCAGGGACGTATGCTGGATTTTCCAGTGGGGGGCGGGGGGGGGGGGTGCATCTCGAAACCTACAACTCGAAATCTTCCTAGAGGTATGTAATTTCAACACGCCGCACAGAACCACGAAAT